GAAGCACAGCAACTCCTTTATATTATCCTAAAGTAACCTCCAGAAAGACACAAATTTCCACGTTATCTGATGGCCAGAAAAGTGTTTTGTACCCCAGAAGAGCAATGATGTGGCTGATACAGACAGAGTTTGGCAACATCCACTAGCTGGATTCTATGCATGTCTCATTGCCGCTGGCCCCATCAGGATGGTTTTCATGAGCAGCTGCAGTGAGTCCCTCTGTCTTTCTGGGGTGACTCCCATGCTTCCTGGCGTTCCCAAAGACCCTGCACTGGGCAGAGCAGCCCTGCGCCACCAGAAGCTGAGGAGGGAAGCGGCAGTAACTAAACAGGAAGGAATAATGTGGCTGATGGCATGTTCATTTCTCTTCAGCTGTTGTCTATGGTGGGGCTATAAGCAACATCATTTGAGCATAAACGTGCCTTTCCCAAGCAAGGGGAGCTGGGAATCAGCTCCCGGGGGACTCCAGTGGGAGCCACAGCCCAGCAGCACTGCCCATCCTGGGCACTGACCTGCCTCAAGGTAAGAACAAGGCTTGTGTGACCTTTTCAGCATCTCTGGTGCTTGTCAAATCCTCCAGGCTGGCAGAGCATCACTCTCCCACCCCTACCCTGCCCCAACAACCAGGATTTGTTTTCCCCAGTGGCAGGGGCAGCATCCCACAACATGAGCCCAAAGACACAATTTTCATATCCGGTTTCCACTGAAACATCACATCATTTTCCTGATGGTGCTGGTTAAAGCTCTCAAGTTGTGTTGTGGAGGTTCTCCAAACAAAAGGGGGGTGTTAACCATGGTGGCATGGCACAGCTCCAGTTCTGCTCCCACCACCGGGCTCACCCCCTGCTCTGGCACCCTGTGCTATTTAAACAGCTGCCATGTTTCATCTGGGAGGTGGCTGCCCTTCAGTCCTGGGAGAAAAGCTCATCTTCTGGAGAGTTTGTGTAACAATTAACATTCGTCAGCTGAGAGCTGCCTGGTGAAAGATCACTATTTACAAGTAAGCAGTGAGTCTTTTGAGGCTGGAGTATTTCTTGAACCACAGAAAACTAAGTTGAGGAGTGGGAGTGAGCCTAAAGATGGGATGATTTCACATGGTGCGTTTAGGAGGAGATTCCTTTGCATTCAGATCAGAGGTAGAAAAGTGGAGATGCCATGGGGGGGGGGGGGGGGGATTCTTTAGCTTTTACAGTTTTTATCCAGTTGTCCCAATGAAATAACTACATCCGCCTGAAACAATTGAAAGAGGTATTTACTGCCTGTGGTTTAACAACTGTACTGTCAAAGGGACCAGTCAACTAGAGCCTTGTAATTCTTTTCTAAAGAGAGGGTGAGAGAAAAGAATGAGACGACAATGCAGTATTTATAATAAAGATGAAATGAGTGGAACTCAATGGCGCCAGCAGCCCCGGAGCTCCTGCTGCTTGGGCTAATGCATTTTGCATTAGCACGTCTGGATATCTGGCACTGGAAGGTCCTGCAAATGCTCTTACAAAACAGCGGCAATTCTGAGAGCAGCGGCGCTCCTTTCCAAACCCCATCATCGATGGGCACAGCTGGGATGGGCAGCCCTTGCAGCTGGGGGAGTTGCCAAGAAGGTTCCACATGACTAAGACCTATTTCCCACTCGCCTTCTCACAGCTGGGTTGGTTTTTGCCCTGCTCGCCTCTGTATGTTGACAAGTGGTTACTCCAGTGGGGCACCCATTCCTGCTGGGGGCTTGACCCACAAAGGGCCTTCTCAGGTTCTAGTAAGGACCTACCGGGTAGCTAGACCTCACGGTGAACATACAAGCACAAAACTACAGTTGTAAGTAGATACTGGCTAAACAAACAAGAACCCCTAGACCTGTATCCCATACTACTCTGTTACTCCAAAGGCTAATCTTGTATTTGCCTTGGAAGCAATACAAAATCCTCAAAGGGATTAATAGCCAGCAACTGGATGTCACCAGAACAATTTGTTTTTCATTCTTTCCCCAGCAGACTTGGGAGATAAGTGTCTCATTTCTTTCTGAAACCTGGATGTGTAAAACTTTGTGTTGCTGCACCTTCCCATAACCCTGCAGAATGCCAACATTAACAGTAACGAGCAAAGCACAGCAGCACCCTAGGGCAACTTCTGGAACTGGTGGAAAGACCACCTGGGGTGTAGTGCCATCAGAAGCAGATGGCAAATGGCACCTTCTTTTTAATAACCATGATGACAGAATGGGGAAATGCAGCACTTCAGGGTTTTCTTTTGGTTTTGACAGATACAAATGATTTCTTGTTGTAAGAAATAAGTGATACCAGTGATTCTATTTCAGTAAGTCTTAAAATGCAGACCCAGGATGTTTGTTTTTCTTTTCTGCCTAAGCCTCTCTTGCAGGAGGTTATCTCTGCACAGAAGCAGCATATCAGCCAAGGCAGGGGAAATGAAAATGATGCTAGAGGCTCCCAGAAAGTCTGGGAACAAGTCAGTGAGGAGCCAGGAAGGGAGAATAAAGTGCCTTTATGAAGTTGTTGTCCTGACTGCTATATGCTTGAGTCCAGCTAAGAACAGGGCTTCTTCCTTCAAAAGGTAATGCTGATCTCAGGCTCTGTCCCCCAGAATGCTAGAGCGGTGGGTTAGGGGGCAGTTATGAGCTCTGGCACTCTGATCCTTGCCAGCACTGAGCCTCATGTTCATGGACAAATTACTTTTGTCTTGATTTTTCATCAACCCGTTTTGTTCTTAATAGGACATTTTGGTGCTGAACTCTACAAAATCTGCTCTTACTGGCTTGACCTCATATATGGGAAATACTTATTTGACCCATAGGATGTCGGCAGGGTTGTTTAGTTACCACAACAGTGCCTAGAAGCTGCTCAGTGGTGATAAGTCTGAGCCACGCTGCTTTTCATTGCTAACCCACTCATATACTGAAGAACAGGCATGTTGACTTCACCCAAACTGGAGGGTGAAAAGAAGCCAACACCTACCTACGTTTTAAGAGAATCCCAATGATATGTGTCTTGCAATGACTTACTTAAACCAAGGCAGAGAGAAGGATGGCACCACAACAGAAGCCTGAGCTGCAGAGATAAAGTACTAGAAAGGCCTTCAAATACCACAGGTGGTAATAGCTCAATGCTTGGGATATTGAGCCAAAGGCTAAGACTCCAAAGCTTGGCAGAGCTCCCAGGTCATGACTCCCCACATTTAGGCTGTTAAGGCTGGTCAGGATATGGCTTGGATCTGGAGGTGAGGTCTGGATTGAGGTTTTGACTTGTTGCTAGTCAGAAAGGTTCCCTGAGGCAAATGTCTTACAATGAGTAACCTCCATGTCAAGCATCTTCAAGTCTGGATTGGTGTCCCGAAGGAATGTGAAGTATTTAGCAACATGGATGTTGCTTGTTTCCAGGAAGATGTGTTGCTGGCCCTGCTCCACAGGTTCCCTGGGGATGGGCTGAGCTTTAACTGAAAGCTGCTGTACGTTCTGCAGACTGTTTCAAAGGAAGACTGGACACTGGGACTGCAGAAGGTGCACATCAGGGCAGAGTCCTCCGCTTCCTCATGTAGAAAAGCCAAATGTTAACTCTGAAATTGATGCTAAAGAAAGCAGCTCTTGGAGCCAGCTCTGGCTCTCAGGAAGCCCTGAGCTCATGTCCTGCCCTAACACAACCTCTGCACAACTTTCTAGTGGGATTATTTCCAGTTTTTTCAAACATCAGTGCTTTTTTTGCCATCTCCCCATCTCTCCTGCACTGCTACTTCTTTGTCTTCCTTCTACTTCAACCACTGTCTCAGAGAGTCTGAGCTGCTGCTCAGCCGTGATGGAGAAACAGACATGGAGGCATACAACTTGTGACAGGTAATTCTGATTTATGCCACTTGGTGCTATCACAAAGGGCTTTGAAAACAATGTGTCCCAGTGCAGCCACATGGACTTGGCTGTCTGCTGTTCTGTGAAGCCTGGAGTAGCTTAAGGCTTGGTATGTATCCTCCTCCCCTTGGAGCAGCGAGTATCCTGCTACTGCTAAAAGGTGTTTTGATCAATATGTGTAAGTATTGCCCTTCCTGCAGGGGATCTCAGTAGTGAAATAGTCACTGGTCCTGGCTGGGTAGATGTGGCAACTGGTTGTGCTACAGGAGTGTTAAGTTTCCCACCTTTGCTGTTCATGGTTTACTGGGTGAGCTGGGGGCAGCTGGTTTCCCTTCCGGGCAGTGTCTGAAGCAGCAGCAACAGATCTGGGAGTGAAAGATCCTAGGTGTCACTTGCTGTCCCCTCAGCTTGAAGAACAGTAACTCACTGCTCTAGTGAAAACACAGTCCCAAATGACCTCCTTCTGCTAAACTGGCCTCAAGATGGGACAGCAGGAAACCCAGTGATGACCCATGTGGATCCCACCAGGGAATGGACATTGTGCAGGAAGGGAAACCTCCACCTCCCCTGGGAGATTAGAGAATTACCCAAGGCAGCATTCTAAAGAAAGCCTAGAAGAGCAGTAGCAGGGGGAACACTGCATGGGCGAGATCCTGGGATGGGGCAAAGGGAGGAGAACGGAGGGGTGCAAGATGACCCTGTGCAGATGTACACTCCCACATCCTGCAAAGGAGACCCAAAACAGGGCTCCTGTGTCTCCCTACTTGCTGCACAGCGTGGCTGTAAGCAGCTGAACCCCAGGAGCAGGAGAACACCATGCTGACCCCAGGCACTGCTCTTGGGCTGCTCTCCAGTGAAGTGGCCACACTGTGAAGCTTTGGTAAGCCAGCACATCCCATGTGCTGATCCTGAGCATGGATCCAGTGATCGGGTCCTCCCAAGCCCACTGCACGTGATGTGACCTGACCATCAAAGGACACACTCAGTTGTGGGTAGCTGCCAGCTGCAAGGGCAGCCCCAGCTTGGGGTTTTCCTGCTTTGGGGCAGGTCACTGTGTTAGCTGGTTTGTCTCTTTTTATGTGTTTGGTACATATTTTCATTGTAATACGCTTTGCTAGCGCAGTCACATGTAAAAAAGTCAGGATACAGTACATGAAAACAGGAAAGATACTTAATCTTAGGGTCATGAGAATGACACTTGGCCTAGCAAAGATACTTGTCCAGTTGCTTTACTTCTAATGTGGGTGTTTTTAATAAAGTACTGACAATGCTTCAAGACTCTGGATTTCAGCAGTGTCTCAAGCTATGAAGCTTTAGATGAGTGATGGGTCAAGATAGGTCTTGAGGGGACTGCACTGAGCCAACAAATTATACCATCCCAGAAGAGCTCAAGATTTGCTCTTGCTCTCTTAATGTCCATTTCTTCTTCTGTCTTGAAATATGTTCAACAAATTGGTGGGGTTTGGTTCACTACTTGATTTTCTTCCACTAGTGAATATTAATTCCCCTATTGGGTGAAATAATTTGAATAATGCAAATAGATCCAAATAACAGTTGCACATTAAATGATGCTCTAAGTACTTTGTAATAAACAGAGTGAGAAAAACACATCGGTTTTAACACCTGAATTCATTGTATAAGCAGAATCAAGAGGCTGAAGACCAGAAGGAACGTTAAAAGTCGCAATGGGTCACACAATTTGATCTTCACCATTGGAAAACTGTTGCATGCATACGCTCTGCTTTAAAATTGGAACTGACAACCCTGCAAGAACACTCCACAGATCAACTTACCCAAAATCACATGGCAAAGCCTGTGATCAACAGTTATCACTTCAGAGCGTGGCTACGAGGCACAGACATCACTTATGGAAGTCTCCAAACATAGGCTGAACCTTATGAATGCTTTTACTTCTAATTTATAGGATGGCAATCACCCTTGCACAGTGTTGCTCACCCTACTTTAGTAGTGGACCAAGCCAACTTGTCTTTGGCGTGAACACAGAATGGGTATGGGAAAGGAATAACATCTAAACCCTGCTCGGCTGCCTCCTAACTGCTCTGTCTCACCAGCCCCAAAAATGTCACTTTGCAGCTTCAGCCCACATGGGGCTTTTCTAAAGGCACATTGCAGGCAAGGAGCAGAAACCCCTTGTTTCAAACTCCTGCGTTATCAGAAAACTTCTACAGTTTCTTGGACATTCATCACAAACTCACAATCTGCCTGATTCAGTGCGAATGCCCAGCAGCAGGATCGGGTTTTATCCAGCACCAGGTATACTGATAACCCTCCCTAATCAGCCACCAATCTCTACTGGGTGAAAGCACTCTCTGTGGTATTTTTACCAAAGCTATTTTTAAACGACAGTGTGATGTTTTGTTTTCCTTTGCTCGTTTGTCAATGGAAGAACTGGCTGTGCTGTGCATCTGCTCTGACAAGAAACTTCCAGTTACTTCTCAGCCCGTTCCAGCTGGAATGGAGGCAGGGCTGGAGAAAGTGCTGCTGCGGTTGGGGTGAGCCCTCCAGGGAGCAGTGACCCTGCGAACCTCTGCCTGCTGGGGTCCCCCATGTCCGGCTGTGGGAAAAGCCTTCTTGGCTTCTTCTGACTCTGGTGTTGATGCTGCTTTGGGCTGGTTTTCACAGTTCGGGTTGGTTTATGTTTAGCTGAGCTGCTACTTGCATGAATGTTGGGGCTCTGTTTTTGTTTTCCACTTGAATTGCACTAGATTTTCAAGGAATTATATTTTAGGTTTAGGTTCTGAATGGCCTCAAAGCATCAGCATCTAAAAATTCAAGTAATTATTTAATTATATGATTTATATAATTCATAATTATTTCATTATTATATAGTTTTAATTAAAACCTGAAGTGTCCAAATGGCATCACTCCGTAGACAATTCACGTTTCATCTTGTCAAACAGCTTTCCCAAATACAGACATAACTGGTTCCACCTCTTCATCCAAGTGTCTGGACATTGCGGCATGTTGCACAACGGCTTTGCATTTCATTTCTCTCCATAATGTATTACAGAGTGACACTAGGCACTTTCCATCCCCTGGGGGCTTCTTCTGGATGAAGGAAATGTAAAATGCCTGCTGGAATTTTGCTCATTCCCAAACCCTCCACCCTTCAGCACTGTTGGATAACAGTTGTCCCACAGTTTTATACCAAGATTTTCTAGCCCTTTGGAATCAGACACAAATGGCTTACAGTAGATAAAACCCTCCTGTCTGTGTGTGTGCAGCTACTGGATATAAAACATGCCTAATTAAATCCTGGAAAATTACATTCTCTGGTTTTAAGTCCTCTGTTTGTACATAGGCCCAAGATTTCTGTTTTCATGCCTCTGAATAATCCCAGGATTTATTCCACCACCTTTTCTAACATACAGTATGTACAATATTGCCTCCTTACAGAGCTAATTCCATAGACTTCAGCAAGATTACTGCTCAGGTGGCTCGAACACCTTCCTATCAAAGCAACAGCACTAAACTCAGTCACAGGAGTGCCAGTCTCTAGGGTCAGTCATAGGAGCAGAACTAGATCTTTACTAAAACCTTCTGCCCTGATAAAGCAGCTCCAGTAGCTGCAGCAAGAGGGAGAATTGCATTCCTGTTAAGCCTGAGCTCTGCCAATTCCCACCAGTTATTGAGGCTGGATTTTTCATTGCAGAATCCAGTAGAACTGGATTGAAACCAACATGCTTATTTTCCTGTCAAGAATCTCACTGATACTCTAAAATCTCTTCAGTTTTCTAGTTTCTAATACAAAAGCCGTTGAGAAGACCAGATACAGTTTGCTAGGCTAGATTTTAAAGATATGTTGGACTCTAATTATTTCTGCTGCCTTTGGTTCAGACTCCTGAGGCAATAATAACAGAAGCTGTAAAAATATGTCCCTAATTCATCATGGCTTTACGTCAGGACTTTACAGCTCTAATCATTAACTAGCCTGCTGCATTATCTATGAAAATTGCTCTGTAATATTTATGAAATGTGACCTTTGTTAGTTCAATGTTACAAAGTGTTGGATTCATTCTGTTTGCAAGTGGAACAGATTTCCAAATCACTCTGCAATTAGTACAGTTTGATCTAGCCAGCCTATCTCTGCATGGGGTAGCCTTCCACAGAACCAGCAGGATCACTGTCAGAAATGAAATGTATTTTCCATACGGCTGAAAGTAAGGCTGTAACACCTGCTTGCACTACATCATCTTTGGCAAAGGTGAGCGCTGAATGAATATTCCCAATAAGGGAAAACAGTAACCAGATTTAGAAAGTTTTTTCTTATGAGAAATACCTTAATTTAAAAAATTAAAATGTACGTGGCCAAAAATGTTTGTTATGTGTAACATTGCAAGGGAAAACCAAAAGGAACCAGGATAATCCCAGGCTGAAACAGATACTATTAGCCATTCCACAGTGGATACTGACAAAGCAACTGCAAGTGACACCAGGAGTCGTGATACTCTGCTGTGTGATTCTCTAAAACACCCCCAAGACCACCATTGGGAGAGGATGGTAAGGTCCCTTCCCACCTAAAAAGCTCACCTTCCTAATCCACCTAAGGCTACCATTAGATAACACTTCACACCATATAGGACAACCTGTGTCACTTCAGTCTATGTGGTGTTTTGAAGGAACAAGGTTTCATTGGAGCGACAAATGTACCGGATGAGCATCATGCAGTGAAGCCATGTGGCACTGTTCAATAGCAGATCACCAGGAGCGTGTAGTATCCGTAGCATTAATGTCATGTTTTCCCATTCTCAAAGCTCTGCGTAGTCACTCTTAGCACTCCATTTTCAGTGCAGGGAAACCAACGCTCACCCTGACTGGGACTGCCTCATGTAACACACTGCATCATGAACAAACTGAGCACCTTCTTGATCCTGCATTAGTTCCCTGAGCTTGTCCACTAGTGACAGACAAAACTGGGGTCTGGTTTGATGAGCCAAGTTAAACCCTGATGAAATCTGTCCATGTAGATTTGTAAAAGATTGGCCCTGTGAAGATCTGTTTTATTCTCCTCTACAATGACATCCGACTGTGCTTTCCTTTGCAGGAAACAAACATCCTCCCGGATAAAGCAGGGACTGGAAAGCCACAGAGACACACCACATGCAAGCTCTGCTCTCTGCATGGGAACAGAGAGGGAAGCTGGGGCAGAGCTGGGACAGGACAGGCCCTCAACAAGGACACCACACAAATGGCATGGCTCTACCAGGCCAAGGATGCTTCCCAGGTGGAATGTACTCAGATCCTCACAATGGCCCTGCCTTTCAAACTGGTATTTTAGCACTTTTTTTTCTGATGTATGAAATGGAAACCATACTAAAACCATATCAGAAACCAGGAGCTGAGCAGTTTGACGTGAAGGCAGCAGCACGGGCTGCAGAAAGTCCTGCCTGCACTCTGCTGCCAGAGTCAGCCCTCCATGGTTCATGATTTGGTCCTAAAATTCAAAACTGCCTGCAAGCCTGGCCAACAGTGCCTGATGAACCTCCCCTCTCCCTGCGACCTTCACCATGTGCCAGCGAACAAAGGCGCTGCTGCAGAAACTAGTGTGAGTTGTGCTTGTGAGTGAGATGGGTTTCCTGGCATCTGGCTGGAAACTTCAGCACTTGTTCCCAGAGCTTGCCAGAATCAGGGAATCCTCCTCCCTCCACGTCACTCCACTTTTCCCCAAGGAAAAGGGAAAAATACAGATGTCTGAGCAAAGAAAGAGGAAGAGAGAAGCTAGAGACATGTACATGCTGCTGCAATACAGGAACTGGGGTAAAAATGGGTTCCATAAGGACCAGTACCATGAGATGCAGCAGCATTGCCTACTAGCAGCAGTGGGGAGAGGGATCCTCCAGTTGGTTCCACTTGCCACCAGCCCACTCCTCCCTGCAGGTGCACTTCTTTGGATGCCTTTCCCATTTCCCAGAATTTGGAAGGGGTTAAATCGTGTGTGTGAACCAACTGGCAAGAAGAAGAAGATTTGGGAGCGAATATGTGAAACCAGGGAGAAGGGGAATGAGCAGCTGCTCCGATGGGATGAGCTCAGCCTCTCCGGGTGTCCCAGGAACACAAACACATGTCCTGCCAGCCACAGCAAAGGCAGCGGGACAGGCAGTGGTTGCAGCACTCAGAAGCGGAGCAGTAACAGCTTCTTGCTGGCTCCATCACATGCATTTACTGGAGTTGCATGTGCCTGCACGGGTGCAGGCCTAGTTAAGTCCCAGGGTGTCTTTATCCTACAGCTCTGAGGCAGGCACAGATCCAGGGAAAAAGGGAGGCTTAAAGAAAAGTAGTGGTCTGGGCAAAAACATCTCTCAGAAATCCCCAGGCTGGAGAGCAACGCTAGAGGCAGGTTCCTCCCTACTGAGCTGAGCAAGTTCCGCTCTGCAGCAACTCAACACAATGTTTTCTCATTTCACGATCACACATTGCTCCATCAGACAAAAGATTTTCCTGCTACTGTGTCCTTCCTCAATGATAGGGCTCTCTCTACCACACACTGCTGTCCTCCTCTATCAAACACACCCAAGAGTAAATGTGCTACGAGAACACCACACATCTTTCTAATGTCTATGAGAGCTCAACATCTGCGGTGTGAAATTTAGTTTCAGGTCTTCTCTTTGCCTTTTCTTCCAACCACTTCAGTGTTTTCGAGCTTCTGAAGGTTTAGGAGTTTCAACTTTTTTGCATAATTAGGAAATTGAAAGCTGTGGTTTATCTACTTGTTTCCTGTGAAACACAAAGGGCTTGAGACACTGGGGGTGTGTGTGTGGAGGGGCGGAGTGTGCATGGTGGAGGGGGGTAGATAAGGCTGCCTAGAGAGTTCAGGGGTGACCGTGCAGTATTATGAAGAGAACTTTTCCCCAGGTCCCACTGGCATGAAGAGAAGACCACAGCCACATTTGTCTGTGACTTCTGGGAAGTACCCCTCACACCCAAGGTGATGTGCTGCAGCCTGCTGTCACTGTAGCTCTCAGGCTGCGTTTCAACAGCCATGGCAGTCCTCCTCTTGCCAATGGGCACTGCAGTACTTGCTAAGCACCTTCCCTTCACCAACATCAGAGATATTTTCTGCTGTTTAAATCCTTTCCTATATTGGAATGTTTGCCACAAAAGTTTTTAGTTGACTAGGAGGTGTTTTCAACAGCTACAACAAGAAAGGGACATGAGGGGTGTGAGGGATGGCCCATCCATGAAGATGCAGGTAGCACTGATGGAGAGTTTGGTGCTCCCCATCAAAGCTGCCCTTTCCCTTCCAGACTCAGCCCTGCCACAGGGCTGAGACTGCCAAGCTGGTGAAATGGCAAGCAGGCCATGATTTAGCAGCACTCATCTTTGAAACCAGCTTTCCAGCTGCCAGAAGAAGGCAAAGTTCCTGTATGAAAATGTTTTCAGTTGAATATATCATAAAAAGTAGTAACAGATACTTCAAGAACAAAACGGTAGCTCTTTTCTTCCAGAAGAAAAAACCCAAGACAATTACAGCCTTTGCGTGTCGTGTAGCTGTTTACTAACATGCAACATGGAACAGGGAACAAAGTGGGGGAAAGAAACTGGATTAAAGGAAATTTGTTGGGGTTTTTTAACCTGAAGTGTTCTCCATAAAACTATTATGCTGAAAGGATGACTAATGTAACCAGTGTGTGTTTTGAAGCGTGTCATGAACACTTTTTATGCTCTCTGAACACACAAAGAAAAACCCCAGGAGAGAATTAATTTACAAATCTGATTAAGCATAGTGCCTAAGTGGCAAAAAGCACCATACAATAAATAGGCTCCACAGGTAAGAAAAGCTTTAAAAAGATAAAACAGACGTACTCTACAAACAGCCCAGATGTGTGCGTTTTGGGTAGTCTAACGTGTTTGCGTTAATGTCAAAGGTACAGACAACGAAAGCAGAGGTCATGCTGACATATTATTTCTGACATCTGATTAATTAAGCCATCATACTGCCTGTCAGTGTAAAGCATGTATCTTAATTCGGGAGGCAAAGGCAAGCCTGTAAACAGAAGGATGAGTCATAAGAAAGGGGTTTTCTATCTGATGTCAAGACAGACTTGTACTGTAATCTTCAGCCAGTCACAGTGTAATATATTGAGGTGGCCCAAGAACCTGACATCACCTGGGGCATTTTCCCACTGTTGACCCACACAATAGGGCAACAGGGACCAAGTACCCCAGCACCAACTCTTTCCCCTTGAGTGCAAGTTCTGTGCTGCTTTGCAGGCATGACAAGGTCCTGCCCCAGCCTCCACTGGCACCAGTCCCAACTACCCGAGTCTTGACAAAAGCCACCTTTTGCATGGGTTCATTCATATTTATAGGTTAGTTTATGATAGCATTTCAGAAGTGAGCAGTACTACTGCTCAGCATTTGCAGTTTACCTGCCTCCAGGGCCTTTCTGAGTTCACGGGAGTTTGGATATTTATTACAATCCTTTAGAACTGTAGATCTGGGGTGCCTTCAGACTCCTCATAGATGTTTATTAGAAGTTAAAGCTTTAAGTTCTCATCAGTGCAACTCTGAATATTACAATTACCTTTTTATATATGGGAATATACTTCTAATCTCCTCACCCCCTGGGATAACTGCCAATATACACAACACTTTTAAACAACCCTCATAATTTCATTCAAAGCAGAGAGGTGACAGAGTGACTTGGCCTGACTTAGACTTTCCTACATGAGTGAGTGGTGTAATGCCCTCTCCTAGTGCTCTTGTGGTAGTTGTCTGATATAGGTCCACCTTCCACCATCCTTAGCACATCTGAATGGGAGGGAAAAAGTAAAAATCCATCCCTGTGCTACACTGGTCCCAGTGAAGAGAATGAGGACCATTTTGTGGTGAAAGCTCTGAACTAGACTCGAGTTATCCAACTTACTACAGGTATATCATTATCTCTAGTAATGAGATCCAGGGATTTCTCTGTGGTTCTACTTCCCTCTGCATAGGGGAATTTATTCATAACTTTCTCATACCCTTGTCTGTTTTCTCTGTGTTGCCCATAAAGAAAGCTCCTTCTCACTGTGTGTAGATCATCTAGACTACTGCGACCTTGGTCTCCTGTAGATACCAAAAGACCAGCAACAGTGAAAAAGAAATTAAGAGCTCCCAGTGTCCTGACAAGTTAGAAAAAGGTGAATCTATTAAGTAATGCCCTGAAATTTCTTTTCTGTAAGCTGGTAAAACATACGCTCACTTACACAATGCAGACACTGTCAGTGAAGCAGGAAGTCATGTCCTCAGCATTGAGTGTCTGTGCTGTAACTGCAGGGAGTCCAACACCTTGGACGTGGCTCAGGCACAGAATCTGTGTCATATGAAAGGAGAGGAATGGAAACAGCGTGAAACCATCAGCAACAAAGGAAGGCGAACAAAAACAGGACAGACGGGATCAGGGACAGAGCCAAGCACAAGGCAAACAAACAGACCTGGGGAAAGCTGGAAGGAAAACAAGTAAACCAAGTAAGTTAAATTCTCCATCCTGCCCTCCAGTTACTTGCACCTTGTTACTGAAATTTTCTCCAAGTGCTAAAGCTGGTGCATCAACACAAAGGATGTGGCACCCCAAATGACACTTGCATGGTAAACCTCTGCCTGAAGACTGCCCTTTGTAATTTTAGCCTTTTGCAACACAACATTCAGCAAACGCAGTGCTGTGTGGGTCTCAAAAGGCTGGGTCCTAATCACTGTATGTTACAGCATCATACTTTCTGGTCCCCAACAGACAAAGCAGCCTAATCAATATTGGTTTTTGCATACGAGGTTGCTTTCAGCATGCTGTGCCTTTTGGAGGCCATTCCTTCTCTCCTTCATGCCCTCACAGAAGTGTTTTGGCGTTGTTGAGCAAAGATCTTCCCTTTGCTGGAATTTTGTGCCTCAAGCAAAGCACCAAAACCCTTGAAGGTTTAGCTGGGAGGCGTTACAGGGAAGTCTCACATACAATCATTGTTGGCCAGACCTATGCAACCTCCTACTGCAATCCCTGAAAAAAGTACTCACTAAATCAATTCCATCCGCACAGTGATAGTTAAGAGTCTGCCAACACCTATATACTCATTAGTATGATTGATTTCCCATTATCTAATTATTTACTGCAGATTTCACATTTTCATGTTACTTGCTTTGCCATTTGTTCAAGAACAGCAAATGGCCTGTCACCACAAGGTGACGGCACTGAATTCATCTTTGTCCTGTACCTTGTATTTGTCTCTGGGTGTTCATCCCCTGCCTGAGGCTGGAGCCAAACCTCTCACAGGCTTTTCACGCTGGAGATGCCAAAGGCTCCCCAAGTAACCCAGCCCAGTGCCTCACTGTCCTCACTGTCAGAACATTTTGCTGATATCCCACCTCCTTGCTGCCATTTAGATGCATTGCTTCTTCCTCTTGAGGATGCTGAAAGCTGATGATTTCCTGCTTGCACTAGCTTTTACTTTACATAAGGAAGGGCTCTTGTTACAGCCATTCTGCCCAACTCTTCACACTTGTACCAATAAAATAGAGTGGGAAATTGTACTTGCTTTATGTGGAATAAGAAACTATAGAAGACAGTGTGAAATCAAGCCCATGATTTTTTATTCTAAACCATACGTTATAAATACAGCTCCTATCAAGTGCTCATTTAACATTCAGTTTCATTTCTCCATAGGAGTAATTAGCTTGCAATAAGGAAAATCTTTTAATTAGGCCCACAACAGATTAGAGTCTGGTGCATAGCCTACTGAAATAAAGGAGAAGATACAAATTGATTTCAACATGTTTTGGGTCAGACCCAATCTTCCAAAGCAAATAGAGAGATAAGACAGCATCTGCTGACTATTCACCTGCCAAGTCTTTGCGCTGATCTCTAATTTTAGGTCTTACAGGCAATTGTCCAGGTTATTTACCACCTGGGCTGCTTTGATCTTCTCTTGAACGTGTGTATTGATGTATAAGCTCTCTTATCTCTACCATGACAATACCAGCCCAACTATCCTAGCAGTATGAGGTTCAGGATCAATACTGGTTCCTCCCTCATTCAGCTGAACAGCATTTTATTTGCCTACTATCTATTAATAGCCTGAACTGACAAATCTTGACTAAATAGTCTAAAATACGTAAGTAGGACATGCTATGGAAATGGAGTGGTATTGTTACATATGGGATGCACCTATAATCTTACCATCACAGATTCACTTGGATCCATCATGGCTAAAACAAGTAAGTGACAGAATCTTATGGCTGGTAGTAGATTTGCATCAGCCACATTAATTTTTCCATACTGGGAACAGAACTCAGCAATTTGCTTACATACTTACTGCAGACCTATAAATACGTTACAGATACTCGTTCTTTGATAAACAAACATCTGTTCTCCCACATACATATACACATAGCTTGACTCCTGCAGAATGGCTGTATGAAAAGACATCTAATTTCTTTAGATGTCTAAGGTCTAATTTCCTTCTAGAAATTAGAAGGAAATTCTAATTTCCTTCACATCTCAAAATGTGATTTACCCAGCTCATGTCTCAGTTGACTCTGGACGTCCAAGCACACAGGTGAGAACATTTTCTTTCTTGCCTCTTCATCTGTAATAAATGTTCTACAAACTAATGGCTGCTAACTACTTTGTTGGTCGCTATAGGACACGTGAACTCATTCTTCCACATCTATATGGATTTTCAGACCAGAGAGCAACACAAATTTGTTGGAGCTTCTTCCTATAAACTCAGCAGACATGATTCACAGATTCAGAGAAGCAGCTACCTTGGGTAAGAAAATGTTGGGGGTTTTTTATATTGAGAAGACAGACGCCATTGAGACTATGTCACCACTGACTGTTTCATTCACAGTCCAGAGCTGCCTCCCTGTCTTCTTAACGTGGACATTCTGTTTGCCAGGAGCAGACTGGTTTAGGCTCCATTTGCTAGCATGTATGCACAACCCTGCTCTGTTTCTCTGTCCTAGACTGCAACAGTGGTGATACACATTCAGCGCGACAGAATATTCTTTTACTGGTATATGATATGCTTATATCAAAGCCACCTAACAAGAATGCCCGACTGCAAATTTTATTGGATAAAGGAGAAATGTTTCATTTATCAGCTTGTTCAAACAGTGACCTCAGGCAGATGCCCATGCCTGCACCTTCTCCCCCCCCCCCCCCAGCACTTTAACACAAAGTGGGTCTGACCCATGGTTTCTTCAAAGCCTCTTTGCACTGCACTGGTCTACATATTTTTTGGAAGCTTAATGTAATACAAATGTACACAAGGCCCCTTTCCTGTGCCAAAGGAACATAGTAAGACCATGACATGTCTGAGACTCAGATCTGAAATCATATAACAAATCCTTCCTCTGCCGTGTATCATAATGCCGAACACGCTGGACTGGGGACTGGGACACCCAGGCATCCTCCCAGCTCTTGCCCTGTCTTTGCTGAGTGACACTGGCCAGTTGTTTCGCCTTTGTCTTGTTTCTTTTTTGTCTTTTAAAATGACAGCAGTGATACTATTGCCTTTTGAAACATGCTCTGAGCATGAGAGATTTGCAGGACGATGCTATTCAAAACTGCCAGGCATAGTTTAGGTGAAACAGAGTTGAGGCGGAGCACGATGATGGAGCAAATCAGTGTCTCTCAAGCTTTTCAATGTACGCCTCGCTTCAATCAGTTAAGAATAATTTCATGCCTGATCACAGAAATGGCTGCAGGGCCTGGCGGCAGGGTACTGCATGTCTCGCTGGTTGGGGAGCGCTGGCGAAGACAGGCTTTCGAGGTCCTTGCAGCCAAACTCTCAAGGACACTAAGACACAAATGTTGTCTTTTATAATATAGCCATTAACAAGAAATGAATGTTAGAAGGGACTGGCATTCAGTTTGAAGCACTATTTTTTTTTTTCAGATTTGACTTCAAGCATCTCTGTTCCATAGCATTTTATAAACCCTCGTTAAATCTCAAACAAAACCAGGAGAAACACAATTGGTTTGGGAAAGCCACTGATTCAAACAGTGCAGCAAGCAACTGGTGAAGAGCAGGCAGCAAGCTGGGCTAGCAAGCATCATGTAGACAGCACACCAACCCAAGTGCAGGGGAGTCATCCAAGTCCACAGGATGCTGTAGTATCTACACCATTGTCATGACCCTTGGACCAAGCTTCTCTCCAAGCCTACAACTGGGTACAGTTCTAGGGTATGACAGGTCAATGACCAATCCAGAAGGCATTTTGGGTGAGACTGCACAGACGTGACTCCTCTGCAATACACAGTCCCTCAACACTGTAGTAGCAACTCATTGATCCTAATACTCCACATACTTTCATGTCACATTGCCTCAGCTTTAAGCTCTGAAAGCAGCTCTCTGACAGGCTGCCACACATCTTCAGGCACTTTGAGCTTAAAAATCCACCCAAAACTAAAAGCAAACCACACAAAACATGAAGAGATGAATAAAAGCCACATGAGCACCAGCAGCAGCCCAGAGACACAGGGCCAAGTGGCTGCAGTGACATCTGCCATTTGAGATCAGGGATGGAGAATGGTCTTTGGCCCTGCTTTATTTGACAAGAGTAGACACAGTCAGTGTCTCAAACTGGGCTTGGGCACTGACAAAACTTCCTTCTGAAACTTCTTTCTGTTCAACTTTCAGGTGTTCTGTTTTCTGTATCTTGGAAACAAGAGTTAATGATCTGGATCCCAGGTGAGATAAGAAATTAAATGGGATTTCAGAAGCTGAGACAGGGAGCTGAAACTCATCAGTGCCAGCTGTGTGCAGAGCCCCTCCTGTGCAGGAAGACGACTAACTCTGCTAATTATCTAAGCCTTGCAACACCCAAGGAAACAGCGGGTGGACTCCAAGGCACAGTGAAGGACATAGGGGTAACACACAGTAAGGTATTTTAAAAGATGGAAGATAGAAATATGCAGTGGCTGCAACAAGCCCAAACTGAAAAGCATGGAAGGCCTCATTATCTCTAAACTGAATGCCATACATGGGGAATAGCGAATAAAGTTGCTTGAATTATGGATCCCCAACTTGAGAGCTCCGCCCTCACCACAGCTCATGGCAGTCAGCAGTACTGATGTCACTGATCTCACATGCTAAGTCACACCACAAGATGGATTTTGGAGCAGAAAGGCATCGTAACACTTGAAAATGTAAATACTGCCATTCCAATCACCAAGTGCAGGCAGTGAAGAACCCACAAACAGGTCAGGTTTTGGGGTGTGGCTGCTGATGGCCCTTCCTTCTGCTTCTAAATATATACAGTTTTTCAAACTTCACCACGAAGTGACAGCTCGCCCTTATCACTGAAGGCCAGCTGTTTCTGTAGCACTCAGCTGTTCTGCTGCTTGCTCCTAGAAATGGAAAAAAGCTATTTGGAGATGCAAATCTGCAAAGCCTTTGAGCATGTGTG